TTTAAGTGAATTTGTCTTAATTTTGGCATCAACATGACTCGACAACTGAACTGCCAATTTAACAGGGGCAGGGTAACTATGTTGTTGTGTGGAAATAGGCCACGTAACATAGTCGCTATTCGTTTAATAGTTAAAAAGTCGCATGTTATAGGAACGTGCGTAAGCTATCGTTTACATTGATATTATTATGTGTAAAGTAACACAAGCATTCAATTTGTAATAAGCAACAACAGGATTCAATTTATAATACTTTGATAAACAATCCAGTTCACCTTTCCATTTTAAAACGTAAATGACTGTAACTGATAATATCCAAGGTGCTGCTATAAAGCACGTAGTTAGTGTGGTCCTAATATAAAAAATGATAGGATAGAACTCATCAGAGAACAATGTTGAATCATTATGCTTTAGATTTGTTTCTCTTTGGGTATTGTTATATAATTTTTCGGTATTTCAGTGATTTTTTATTATTGAAACCGTCAGTACGTTTCCATCGGTGATGTACTTTATTCAACTTTGTAATGATGCAACCTCAATGGTATAAGACTGAAGAAAAAATTCAAAAACCAACGAATAGAAACAACATAATTTGTAATACACACACAACTACCCTGTCCTCAGTTTTCGAGCTTTTTCATCAAATATTGACTTATTTTCCTCACTTCATAACAATAACAATCACTCTTCATCCCAAATTATTTCAAAACGTAATAGCAGCGAAAATACCATCGTCAAACCGATACATACACATAAGAAAACAAAGTATTATTTAAACGCCCTTCAGTCAGGGAATTAACGACCTTCCTTCAGAGGTGGAGGAGGAGAGGGAGTGAAAGAGCGAAAGTGGGGGGAGGGGGGAGGGAAGGGGGACGAGCCGCCCGCCGCATCGCGGCAGTCGCTTAGGAGCAAATGTCCCTGTTATCGGTCCGAAGAAGCCGCGCCTTGCGCCGCCGAGCAAAAGAAAAAAAAAAAAAAAGAAGAAGTCTTGTGTACACAATGGCGCGGGGGCGGACAAAGCTATCGCTCCCTGCGGAACCCACCTGTCCGACGCCCACCGCGCGTCTCGGACACGACGCTTGCTTGGAAACGCGCGTCGCGGGGAGGGAGGGGGAGAAGGAAAGGGAAGGGGAGGAGAGGGGAGGGAACGAGGAGGGAGGCGATTGGATGGAAAGGAAGGGGATGGTTAAAATTGGGAGAGGAGGAAAGTAGGGTGGGAAGGGAAGGAAGGGGTGAGGAGGATGGGAGGGAGGGGGAAGGGGTGGCGAGGAAGGTAGGGAAGGCGATGGGAGGAAGGTATATAGAGAGGGGGAAAGGTAGGGTGAGAATGGGAGGATGAGCGAGGGGAGGGGCTGGAAGGAGAGGAGATGGGTGAGGGAGGGATGGGGATGGAAGAGGTAGGGGAGGGTAGTGTTGGTGGAGACTGTGATAAGGAGGGTGCGAGAGTGGTGAGGGTCCAAATCAAAGCTTTCTGCGTACGTTGAGAGAAAATATGTTTTTTATTCTTCTTCAAAATAAAAATTAATTTGTTGGTGGCTTACCTCCGTCAAAGGTAACGATACCACTCTTCTTGGAATAAATCAAATACAGATTTAGAAAAACATAAACGGGTGTAATCTTGAAATGTATGAAAAGAGTGCAGTTCTCCATATTCACCACATGCCTACCGCCGACCTAGACAGAGGTATTAAGAAGATTGGGCAATGGAAGAAGGCATCGGGAAACGGCGAGTGTTTGCAAGGAGAATCCGCAGCTATAGAGGAAGTAGTGAGTAGCAAAGCAGTGAAGGTGGGACGCAATACCGATGACAGCTGCGAGCCAATTCTCAGAAAGAAAGGGAAGGAATATATTTGTCCTATGTTAGAAGAAAGAATTCTGAAGACTGCAAGGAATAACAAAAGAGAAACGTTCCAATAGAGCAAAGAAGAGACGAGGTTATGCTACGATAAAACAGACTGCACGCCTAGGGATAACGATGACGAAGCAGTAAAAGAAAAAAGAAAAGAACAAAATGAAGAAAAAGAAAAAAAGAGAAGAAAAATAAGCAAAGGAAGAAAATGAAAAACCAGAAGAAAAATAAGTGAAAGAAACAATAAAAAAGAAGCGTCAACGGTAGTATAGTACAATTTAGTCGTGCACTTGACATCAATCACCTGTTGCGGTTTCATCCAATCGGAAGCTTATATGTCGCTGCAGTGACGTCACTAAGGGGACGTTCAAGCTCCCGATTGGATGCAACAGTGAACACCTTTATTTACTTCAAATGCACGGTTAATTAAATACAAGTATATGTAGCAAAGCGGAGGCAGAGGTTGGGATAGGCCTTCTGCGAAGGTGGTCGGGTCAGCCTTGGCAACGTACGTGACAGCGGCGTAGGCTGCAGAGCCACGTAGTCGGGCAATGCGGGTGAGGCGTCCCGGTTGACGAGGGCGCGTTCGAGCAACGGAAGACGCGGGGCGGCGGGGGCGCCAAGATAGGGAACCCCGGGGGACCTAAGAGCGCAAGGCGAAGGGCTCAGAGGGCCACGGGAGGAAAAACCGCGTCGAGGCGGCGAGGGAAACAAGAAAATGAACACGAAGACAGAAGAAAAAAGCGGGAAAGGCTGAGAGGGACTTCTCGACAGGACAGGAGAAAGAGAGTGGAGGGTGCATAGAAGACGCTCAGAGTGGTATTGGATCTCTTGGCAGCTGTTTTTGAATACTCATGAATACTTTTCTCTATAGGCAGTGACACCTGGAAATTTTCTTTGTATATGTAGGAGTGTGAAGAGGCATAGTAACCAGTCGGCTTGATGTTCCCTTATTGAATTTTTTCATTTACGCTGCATTTAAAGTTGATTACTGGTTTATTTACGGTTTATTTATAACGTCCACGATTAAGATTCTGGATGAATTTCGTTTCTATAAAAAATAGTGAACACAGTAAAAACTTCCCAAATCAAAATTTGCGACAATATCGTAAATGAAATAATCACTAACGTTGCAAAGCAATTCACAAGAAAAAATGAGGTGAGGTGTTTACACTGCAATCATGGCAGACGTCTGAAAATCTAATTATCTACTTCCAAAACTTGTTGATCAGTTTCATAATAAATGGATTGATATTTAACGCAATTGAAACCGGAAATTTTTTCCAATAATCCATCTGTAAAATGAAACACGTCTGAAAAAGTTTATGTTTGGTTTCACAAATGCTGTGAATAAGTGAAGGACCATACGTGGTTTTGGAATTGTGAATATCCGAACAATGTCTTGAACTTTCAGGCAAAAGAAAACACAATAGATTCAGAAAATATGAATTACATTCCCATCAAAAGTACTTTTTAGAATCTTTGGAACTGTAAATTTCTGTGCTTTACTGGACATAAAATTATTATGCATAATGCAATCAGCACAATTCACGGGCAGAAGAAAAACAAATAAAATGTTGCAACCAAGTAAACACACTTCAACAATATACACATCTTTTTTTAAATTTTTACGCTAATTAGTTCCTACAATTTTACAAGTGAAGAAAGAGAAAACATAATACTAAGATACAATGAATTTCTTTTTCTAATATTTTAAGACAATTGTTTACTTTGGACATTTCTGCGCTCGACATTAGTACAAAAAAATTATTTCACTTGTCAACATTGTCATTGTTTTACCGAAGTTCATAAAAAGAAGAAAAAAAATGAACCAAACTTTGCAGCCTAGGGGAAGCACAGAAGGGTTGAGAGCTAGCCTACGAAAAAACACGTCCGCGCTAGAGTGAGCAAAAAAGAAAAGAGAAGCAAAGGCTCTTGAAAAGGACACTCGGCGAAGGGCAGAGAGGGCAGGTCCAAGATACACAGTGGAACGTGTTACTTTGCACAAACATGCATTAGTATAATGGCATTAAAAGTGTTTTTGGCCTCGGGTGGCGGCCTGGCACTAGATGTGGGCAGCGGGGACGGCCGGCGAGGGCGCGCGCTAGGAAGCTGCAAGAATAAAAGAAGAATTCTACATCCCTTGGGCTGTGGTTACTGAAACATGGGGAAGGTGAAATGTGTGCACGGCATTTACGGCTGTAGGAGAATGTAGGACTTCCATTTCTATTTGTTATTCTATTTCTCCTTATCTTCTTATTCTACTTCCGATTCTATTTCATCTACATATCAATTTTTAAATTATATTTCTTAGTTTCTCAAATTTGGTGGACACAATACATTTTTTTCGGTGATTAGAATTGACTCAAGTCATGAACGTATTAAACTAGTAAGGTTACTGATGATGTATTGCTGAAACCAAATTTAGAATTAATTAAACATAATTATAGAATAAGAAAATATCGGATTTTTATATACCAAACAATAATTTAATATAATTACATAAAAATATTTTGCAATAATTTATTTGCAATTGCATGTAATCAGTACAATCATTATATAAAACATTGTTATAGTTATAATAATGATTATTTTATATACAACTTCTGGTGAGATACTCTAGAGAAATAAATGTATCAGATTTCAATTCCATCAAGTAAATTCAGAAAAAGTGTTTTAGTGTTACAACGACGCATGTGTCGCATGCATCGACGTATTCCAAAATTCTCATCCTGTCTGCAGAAGCGACATCTGGCGTTGCATCACGCACCCTCGCGCCTACTGCGGTTTCCTTGGACGGACCCTCTTTGCCTCCTGATTCGATTTTCCGAAGCGAACACTGCCTTGGGTATCACTTATTGCTCCCACACTGGTTTCTTCGTTCCGCTGCGTTCTTCCGTCAAACAGACGCCGTTGCTCACTGACACGTCGTGGGGTGGAGTGACTGTTGCGCCTTAGCAATCAAACGACATACGGCTGTCGTATTGTAGCATTTAAAAATCATCTCACGCTCGGTTTGCCTCCCAGTTTATTGCAATGTAATTTCTCTGAAATGAATTCATCAAGCATCAGTGGGTAAATAAATTTCATGCTTTAGATTCACGTGTGTTTAATAAATTTATTGATTTGTTTATTTACGATTGTATATCGATTATATTAAGGAGAGATATCTTACAAATTAATATTTTAAAAGCGTTTTAATTATACTTTCAATATAATTTTACCTTTTAATAATGGTTATGTAATCATTTTTGCGAATTCCAGTTGACGTGTCCCAATTGCAATTGATTGCTCCTGGTAACCAAGTCTTTTCGTTGGTCATTTCTCACTCTACTCGTACTTCTATGTCCCTGGAAGCATAACGTGATTGCTCATCATATCCATCTCACATCTAATCGACCGCGGGGGAGTGGAGAATCGTGGGAAGTCGCACCTCCGATCGCATCTACACTGCTCGGTCCGCCCGAATACATCCAGCCTACCTCACCAGTCGCCAACGCCTTCCGAATTCCCGCTATCAATGTCCTCGCCCGTGTCACCAGCCATAATGACCTCGCCCGGTCAGTCCCAGTCACTCTCCTGAGTGCTCTGGCGCGCCTTGCCTCCGTGATTCCTCCTGCCTCGTTTCGCAGCCCTCGGGGATCTCCTCTCTGCCGGACACGCCCACTTCCTCGGCATCTTTGGAGGGAGGCGTGTGAGGCGAGGGACCACGTGGGCACGACAGTTAGAGCAGTTGAGGATTTTGAGGTTTGGCGGGCATTACTGGCTTAGGTAGCTTAACCCGGCATCCACTGGTGTTTACTCCCAGAACTGGCGGCCGGTCTGACCCGTCCTAGGATTGGATTACCCCGAGCCCAGGAATTTGTGACACTAGCTACATAAGCTGGTAAGATGTTTGAATTTCAAGCGCGTTATATGGTGGTTAATTTTAGTGACCTGCCTGCTCCGGTTGACGTTTTCCGCTGTTTTATCCCATAAACACCAGCTGAGTGCCGAGAGAAGTACCCTAACAAGCGAGCCACAGAAAATTCGCGCGAGTCGCTAAACTTACCACCACATGTCGGAGACCAGTCCTGGCTTAGAACTTCTCCCGAATGAGGCGGTGCCCTGCTAACGGCGAGACAACAGATTGAAAACCCACAGCCAAACAAAGTGTAGGATCAGCGTCGGTGTCACTCCCCAAGCGGAGGAAGATCACCGCCACCCCACCGTGATAAAAACATTTGCACTACACTTACAAGAATGATAACCATAGCCTGATGACGCGCCCCAACCCCACGAAACCAAATCAATAAATCAATGGATGGGCCCCCAGAGACGATATAAAGTGGGCCGGGACCCCGAAAGAAAGGCGGGCGAGCCGAGCGGTGGGAGTTAAAGCCAATGAGAAATGGAGCCTTGTCCGCGGCGTTGGACATCGCAGTAGGTGCGGGAGCGGTGGGTCGCGACCACGACCTGCGTGGACTGAGCATCCCTCAATAGTGATTGGCAAAGAGCAGGGAGTGACAAATCGCGTGGAGGCGCAGCTGAGGAGGAGCCGATGCACGCAGGACGGCGAGGCAACGAATGGGACGAGGCGAACAATTGTGGGCGGCGCGGTGAGGTGCCCGGACTTCCACCCCAGCAACGCGTGGAGGGCCGGGTTGGCCGGTGACGGAGAGCGATGAGGGAGTTGGCCGAAAGCGTCTGTTGTGAAATTGCGCACGGAGAAAGGGAAGCGTGGCCTAGCGTAGGTGTGAAGCGGTTGGGTGCAGAGTAATGGGACAGAAGGTGTGTTTTTTTTTTTCTAAGTATATAACAGACGAGTAGCATCAGTGCAGACAGAGATCGCGAGATGTGTGAAGAGCTTATGTTACGGGTGTGGGTGGGACTAGTAAGAGACTACCAAGTGGAGAGGGGGTGCAGACGACCGGGACAGAGTTGAACATTTGGGGGGGGGCCCCGGCACGAAGAGGCGGCGAGGCGTAGCAGGAATGAAGGAAAGGCAAAGCCCGGAGATTAGTTGGTGGCGTGGGTCGGCAGATGGTGAAAGCGACGGATGGGAAGTCGCAGGCGGCAGTTATAAATAATAATAAATAATAATAATAATAATAATAATAATAATAATAATAATTATTATTATTACTTATTATTAATATTTTATTTGGCTACAATTGGCTGATGCCAGGTGGTAGCACACCTACAGTTTTCATATATGAACATTTATATTCAAAAATAATTTACCCAAATAAAAACATTTACAAACAACCTTCCTTCGAGCATATACACTCCCCAATATATAAACATACCCACCAGACCCTGTATACATTTATTGGCACAATCTACCACACCACACCACCACACACCACAATATATATATATATATATATATAATATATATATATATAATATATATATAATATATATAATATATATACAGGCAACATACATCATACATACCACACACATTTACTATACATGAATGCTCACTCTTCACGTTTCACACATACCACGAACCACACCACACACTTGCCCCTACATATTATACATGCCTACATTTAAATGAAGAACATATAGTTAGTTACACCTAGTAAACATGCACATATTACATATAGTTGGGAGGGCGGCTGAGGACTATTTGCGACGGGTAGAGTTAGGGATGCTGAGGCAGGACGGCGAGGTGAGGGCGCGAGATGGACATGAGCGAAGACGAGCGGC